AAATCCCTGACCCCAAATCCCATAAATCCCACAAATCCCTGACCCCAAATCCCATAAATCCCACAAATCCCTGACCCCAAATCCCATAAATCCCACAAATCCCTGACCCCAAATCCCATAAATCCCACAAACCCCTGACCCCAAATCCCATAAACCCCATACCTGGGGTGCCGGTCGAACATGAGGGGCAGGAACTCGTCCACCGGGATCATCTTGCCCAGGGGCTTGGCCGCCAGATCCCATAAATCCCACAAACCCCTGACCCCAAATCCCATAAATCCCACAAACCCCTGACCCCAAATCCCATAAACCCCATACCTGGGGTGCCGGTCGAACATGAGGGGCAGGAACTCGTCCACCGGGATCATCTTGCCCAGGGGCTCGGCGGCCAGGAGCTTGCGGGCGCCGCGCAGGGACAGCGCGTAGCCCAGGCTCCAGTAGGAGTAGCCCGGGCGCAGCAGCTGCCGCACGCCCGGCACGCCGCGCTCCGAGCGCTCCGGCTCCAGCCGCTTCCGGCCCAGGTAGCTGCGGACAGCGGGGTCAGCGAGGGGTCAGTGCGGTCACTTGAGTCAATGGGGTCAATGGGGTCATTGGGGTCAATGGGATCAATGGGATGAATGAGGTCAATGGGGTCATTGGGGTCAATGGAGTCAATGGGATGAATGAGGTCAATGGGGTCGTTGGGGTCAATGGAGTCAATGGGATCAATGGGATGAATGAGGTCAATGGGGTCAATGGAGTCAATGGGGTCATTGTGATGATCAGGATCAATGGGATGAATGAGATCAATGGGATGATTGGGAGGAATGGGATGAATGAGGTCAATGGGGTCATTGGGATCAATGGGATGATTTGGATCAATAGGGTCAATGCAGTCAATGGGGTCATTGGAATGATCGGGATCAATGGGATGATTGGGAGGAATGGGATGAATGAGGTCAACAGGGTCATTGGGGTCAATGGGATCAATAGGATGATTGGAATCAATGGTGTCAATGGGATGAATGAGATTAATCGGGTCATTGGGATCAATGGGATAAATGGTGTCATTGTGATGAATGAGATCAGCGGGATCAATGGGATGAATGAAGTCAATGGGGTCATTGGGGTCAATGGGATCAATGGGATGAATGAGATTAATCAGGTCACTGGCATCAATGGAGTCAATGGGATTAATGGTGTCATTGATGAATGAGATCAATGGGATCAATGCAGTCACTGGGGTCATTGGGATGAATGAGATCTCTGTGGTCAATGGGACCAATGAGATCGATGGGATAATTGGGGTCAGTGGGATCAGTGGGGTCATGGGGGTCAATGGAGTCATTGGGATCATTGGGCCCAATGGGATCCATTAGGGCCTCAGGAAATGGGGAGCACTGGGATGAGGATGATGAGGATGACGATGAAGGCTCACACAAGGTCCAGGGGACTGGGATGAGTTTTGAGATAAGGATGAGTTTTGGGATGAGGATGATGAGGATGACGATGAAGGCTCACATGAGGTCCCAGGGGATTTGAACTGGGATGAATTTTGGGATGAGGATTGGGATGAGGATGAGGATGATGAGGATGACACTGAAGGCTCACATGAGGTCCCAGGGATGAGCTTTGGGATAAGGATGAGTTTCGGGATGAGGATGATGAGGATGATGATGAAGGCTCACATGAGGTCCCAGGGGATTTGGACTGGGATGAGTTTTGGGATGAGGACTGGGATGAGGATGAGGATGAGGAAGGCTCACATGAGGTCCCAGGGGATTTGGACTGGGATGAGTTTTGGGATGAGGATTGGGATGAGGATGAGGATGATGAGGATGACACTGAAGGCTCACACGACATCCCAGGGATGAGCTTTGGGATGAGTTTCGGGATGAGGATGAGGAAGGCTCACATGAGGTCCCAGGGGATTTGGACTGGGATGAGTTTTGGGGTGAGGATTGGGACGAGGATGAGGATGGGGATGAGGAAGGCTCACATGAGGTCCCAGTCGATGGCCGCCTCGTCCAGCTGCTCCATCAGCTCCGTCAGGCGGCTGCGGAAGAAAACCTCGAAGCGCAGATCGTCCTCGAACACCAGCGAGCGCTGCAGGCCCCGTGCCGAGATCTGGGAATACCGGCAGGGACCCGGGAATACCGGGAGGGACACGGGAATAACGGGAACAGGGAGGGACAATGGGAATAACGGCAGGGACAACGGGAATACCGGGAGGGACCCGGGAATAACGGGAACAGGGAGGGACAATGGGAATAACGGGAGGGACCCGGGAATACCGGCAGGGACAACGGGAATAACGGGAGGGACAACGGGAATAATGGGAGGGACCCGGGAATAACAGGAGGGACCCGGGAATAACGGGAGGGACAATGGGAATAGCGGGAGGGACCCGGGAATAACGGGAGGGACAACGGGAATAGGGAGGGACAATGGGAATAGGGAGGGACAACGGGAATCACGGGAACCAGGAGGGACAACGGGAATAACAGGAACAGCGGGAACCGGGAGGGACAACGGAACAGGGAGGGACCCTGGGATGAGGATGAGGATGGGGATGAGGAAGGCTCACATGAGGTCCCAGTCGATGGCCGCCTCGTCCAGCTGCTCCATCAGCTCCGTCAGGCGGCTGCGGAAGAAAACCTCGAAGCGCAGATCGTCCTCGAACACCAGCGAGCGCTGCAGGCCCCGTGCCGAGATCTGGGAATACCGGCAGGGACCCGGGAATACCGGGAGGGACACGGGAATAACGGGAACAGGGAGGGACAATGGGAATAACGGCAGGGACCCGGGAATAACGGCAGGGACACGGGAATAACGGGAGGGACCCGGGAATACCGGCAGGGACAACGGGAATAACGGGAGGGACAACGGGAATAATGGGAGGGACCCGGGAATAACAGGAGGGACCCGGGAATAACGGGAGGGACAACGGGAATAGGGAGGGACAATGGGAATAGGGAGGGACAACGGGAATCACGGGAACCAGGAGGGACAACGGGAATAACAGGAACAGCGGGAACCGGGAGGGACAACGGAACAGGGAGGGACAACGGGAATGCCGGGAACAGGGAGGGACCCTGGGAACACGGGGATTGTGATGGACCCCCGGAGTGCCGGGAATTCCGTGAATTTGGGATGGACCCTGGGAATTCTGGGAATCACCCACCCACTCCAGGATTTGGGATGGACCCCGGGAGTGCCGCTCCCACCCTTGGGAATTCCCTGCACTCCCAGACCCCACAAATTCCAGAATTCCCATCCCAAATTCCCAAATTTCCCTTCCTCACCTCCTGCCAGACCCAGAAGTGGCTGAGGAAGCAGCGGCTCCTTTGGAATTCCCTGAACTCCCTGACCCCCTGGATCTTCTAGATCCTTCCAGACCCCCCAAATTCCCATCCCAAATTCCCGAATTTCCATCCCAAATTCCCAAATTCCCACCCCAAATTCCCGAATGCCCCTGCTCACCTCCTGCCAGACCCGGAAGTGGCTGAGGAAGCAGCGGCTCCTCTGGAACTCCCTGGATCCCCCTGGATTCCCTGAGCCCCTGGATCTTTCTGGATCCCCCAAATTTCCGAATTCCCACCCCAAATTCCCGAATCCCCCTGCTCACCTCCTGCCAGACCCGGAAGTGGCTGAGGAAGCAGCCCACCTCGCCGTGGGTCAGGGGTCTCCCGTGGAAGGGGTCCCGGTACCCCAGCAGCATCCGCACCCCCAGCGCCTCCACCTGGCTGCGGTTCAGCGCCCTGCGGAGCCCGGAAGGTTCCAGAAGGGAATTCCGGGGGGTCCGGGGCGCCGCCCACCCCCCCGGGGCTCACCGGCCGTCCACGGCCTCCACCAGCCGCGGGGAGACGCCCAGCGCGTGCAGCGAGCGCAGCATCCGCGCGCGGCGCCCCGAGCGGCGGCGCAGGTTGATCAGGAACACCTGGGAACGGGGAACGGGGGAATGGGGATTCATCCTGAAATCCGGGGGGAAATGGGGAAAAATCGGGAAAATCGGGGGAAATTGGGGGGAAATTGGGGGAAAGGGGGAAAAATTCAGTAAAATCAGGGGGAAATTGGGGGAAAGGGGGAAAAATTCAGTAAAATCAGGGGGAAATTGGGGGAAAGGGGGAAAAATTCAGTAAAATCAGGGGGAAATTGGGGGAAAGGGGGAAAAATTCAGTAAAATCAGGGGGAAATTGGGGGAAAGGGGGAAAAATTCAGTAAAATCAGGGGGAAATTGGGGGAAAGGGGGAAAAATTCAGTAAAATCAGGGGGAAATTGGGGGAAAGGGGGAAAAATTCAGTAAAATCAGGGGGAAATTGGGGGAAAGGGGGAAAAATTCAGTAAAATCAGGGGGAAATTGGGGGAAAGGGGGAAAAATTCAGTAAAATCAGGGGGAAATTGGGGGAAATGGGGGGAAATGGGGGGAAATGGGGGGATTCATCCCGAAATCCGGGGGAAAATGGGGAAAAATTCGGGAAAATCAGGGGGAAATTGGGGGAAATTGGGGGAAATGGGGGGATTCACCCCGAAATCTGGGGGAAAATGGGGAAAAATCTGGGAAAATCAGGGGGAAAATGGGGAAAATTTGGGGAGAAAATGGGGAAATTGGGGGGAAATGGGGAGGAAATGGGGAAAATTCAGGGGAAAATGGGGAAAAATTGGGGAGAAAATGGGGAAATTTCAGGGGAAATGGGAAAATCTGGGTGGATACACCTCAAAATCCAGGGGAAAATGGGGAAATCTGGGGGGATTCAACCAAAATCTGGGAGAAAATGAGGAAATCTGGGGGGAAATGGGGAAATCTGAGGGGATTCACCCAAAATCTGGGAGAAAATGGGGAAATTCACCCCAAAATCCAGATTAGAATGGGAGAATCTGCCCCAAATCCAAGGGGATCCACATGGGAACAAGAAACTCCCCCCTGAAATCCAGAGGAAAAGGGGAAAGACCACCCAAAAGAGCAAAAAATGACCCAAAATCCAGGGAAAAAGTGGGAAAATAACCCAAAAATCTAGAAAAAAGGGGATGAATGACCCAAAATCCAGAGGAAAAGGGGGGAAACAACCCAAAATCCAGAGGAAACAGAGAAAATTACTGCAAGTCCAGAAATAAAGGAGGAAAACGACCCAAAATCCAGAATAAACGAAGGAAAACGACCCAAAATCCCAAGGAAAAGGAGGAAAATGACCCAAAATGCCAAGGGAAAGTTGGGAAAAGATCCCAAACCCAGAGGGGAAGGAGATCCCGGCCGGAATTCCGAGGGAGGGGCTCCCACCTCATCGAATCCCAGCTTGTCCAGGACCTTGGGAGGGACCCACACGTGGGGGGAGGGCTCGGCCGGAGGGAGCTTCACTGTGGGAACGGGAGAATCCCGTGGGAATGGGGCAAAATCCTTGGGAATGGGCCCCAAATCCCATGGGAATGGGGCAAAATCCATGGGAATGGGCCCCAAATCCCATGGGAATGGGGCCCAATCCTCGTGAAAGGGAAATCCCGTGGGAATGGGGCAAAATCCATGGGAATGGGCCCCAAATCCCATGGGAATGGGGCAAAATCCTTGGGAAAGGGAGAATCCCGTGGGAATGGGGTAAAATCCGTGGGAATGAACCCCAAATCCGTGGGAATGGGCCCCAAATCCCATGGGAATGAACCCCAAATCCCATGGGAATGGACCCCAAATCCCAGGGGGATGAACCCCAAATCCCATGGGAATGAATCCCAAATTCCATGGGAATGGGAGAATCCCGTGGGAATGGGGCAAAATCCATGGGGATAGGGCCAAAATCCATGGGAATGGGCCCCAAATCCCATGGGAATGGGCCCCAAATCCCAGGGGGATGAACCCCAAGTCCCAGGGGGATGGGCCCCAAATCCCATTGGGAATGAACCCCAAATCCCATGGGAATGAACTCCAAATCCCATGGGGATGAACCCCAAATCCCATGGGAATGAATCCCAAATTCCATGGGAATGGGAGAATCCCGTGGGAATGGGGCAAATCCCATGGGAATGGGCCCCAAATCCCAGGGGGATGAACCCCAAATGGGAATGGGCCCCCAAATCCCATTGGGAATGAACCCCAAATCCCATGGGAATGAACCCCAAATCCCAAGGGGATGAACCCCAAATCCCATGGGAAAGGGAGAATCCCGTGGGAATGGGGCCAAAATCCATGGGAATGGGCCCCAAATCCCATGGGGATGAACCCCTAAATCCTATGGGAATGAACCCCTAAATTCCAGGGGAATGGGCCCCAAATCCCAAAGGAATCAACCCCAAATCCAATGGGAATCAACCCCAGATCCCAAAGGAACATTTCCCATCCTGGGGGTGAAGAATTCCCAATCCCAGGGGTCCCTTCCCAGGATCCCTCCCTCCCCCTCCATCCCAAGGCCCTGGATCCTGTGGGATCCTTTGGGATCCACTGGGATCCTTCCCTCCGCCACAACCCCAAGGCCCTGGATCCTGTGGGATCCTTTGGGATCCACTGGGATCCTTCCCTCCGCCACAACCCCAAGGCCCTGGATCCTGTGGGATCCTTTGGGATCCACTGGGATCCTTCCCTCCGCCACAACCCCAAGGCCCTGGATCCTTTGGGATCCTTTGGGATCCTTTGGGATCCACTGGGATCCCTCCCTCCACCACAACCCCAAGTCCCTGGATCCCTCGGGCCCACCCCGAGGCCCCGGATCCGTCGGGATCCGTCGGGATCCGTCGGGATCCGTCGGGATCCGTCGGGACCTCACCCATCTCGGGCCCACCCCAAGGCCCCGGATCCGTCGGGATCCGTCGGGACCTCACCCATGATCTCCAGCTGGACGTGCAGGAAGTTCTCGGCCTCGTCCCGCAGGGAGCTCTGGGAGCGCAGCGGCACCGGCAGGAACCCGAACTGCTCCCGGTTGGACACGAACATCTGCACCCCTGGAACGGGATCCGGAATAACCGGAACCGGGACAACGGGATCGGGAATAACGGGATCGGGGATAACGGGATCAGGGATAACGGGATCAGGGATGGGAGCGGCACCGGCAGGAACCCGAACTGCTCCCGGTTGGACACGAACATCTGCACCCCTGGAACGGGATCGGGAATAACGGGATCAGGGATAACGGGATCAGGGATAACGGGATGGGATCAGGGATAACGGGATCAGGGATAACGGGATCAGGGATGGGATGGTGGATGGGATTGGGGATGGGATGAGGGATGGGAGCGGCACCGGCAGGAACCCGAACTGCTCCCGGTTGGACACGAACATCTGCACCCCTGGAATGTTGGGATCGGGATCGGGAATGGGATCGGGGATGGGATCAGGAGCATTGGGATTGGGAATGGGACCAGAGCAGGATCAGGATGGGGAGTCACTCCTATGCTGGGATCACCCAAAGTCGATCTCAAATCCCAGCCCAATTCCAAACCCAACCCAACCCCATCCAAGTCAACCCAATCCAACTCAAACTAACCCACCTCAACCCAACCCAACCCACCTCAACCCAATCCAACCCAACTCAACGCAATCCCATCCCAATCCCAACCCAACACACCTCAACCCAACCCAACCCAACCCAACCCCATCCAAGTCAACCCAACCCAACTCAAACTAACCCACCTTAACCCAATCCAACCCACCTTAACCCAACCCAACTCAACCCAACCCAATTCAACTCATCCCAAACCAACCCAACACAACCCATCCCAACAATCCCAATCCCCATGCTCACCAATGTGCCAGCAGGTGGTGGCGAAGACAATGTCATCCCAACTCAACCGAACAATCCAAATCCAAGTCAACCAAACCCATCCCAAACAAACCCAACCCATCCCAACCAAACCCAACCCAACCCAACCCAACCCAACCGAATGCCCATCCTCACCGGTGTGCCGGCAGGCAGCGGCAAAGACAATGATGTCATCCCAACCCAACCCAACCCAACAATCCAACCCAACAATCCCAATCCCCATGCTCACCGGTGTGTTGGCAGGCGGCAGCGAAGACGATGTCATCCCAACCCAACCCAACCCAACAATCCAAACCACCCCAACCCAACCCAACCCAACAATCCCAATGCCCATCCTCATCCTCACCGGCGTGCCGGCAGGCGGCGGCGAAGACGATGATGTCGTCGAAGGCGCCGCTGTAGCCGGGCGGGGGCGGGTGGAAGGCCAGGCTCTGCGAGCGCTCGCGCCGCAGGTCCAGCAGGAAGGTGGAGTGCACCATCGGCACCGCGAAGCAGCCCCGGCGCTCCCGGCGCCGGATCGGCAGGTAGGCGGGGGTGCGGCGGTAATAGCCCTGCGGACGGGAGTGACCACCGGAGTGACCACTGGGAATGGGGAGTGACCACTGGGAATGGGGAGTGACCACTGAGAGTGACCACTGGAAATGGGGAGTGACCACCGGGAGTGACCACTAGGAATGGGGAGTGACCACCCCTCCCTCACCTGTCAGTGCCCTCTCCTGTCAGTGCCCCTCCCTCACCTGTCAGTGCCCTCTCCTGTCAGTGCCCCTCCCTCACCTGTCAGTGCCCTCTCCTGTCAGTGCCCCTCCCTCACCTGTCAGTGCCCTCTCCTGTCAGTGCCCCTCCCTCACCTGTCAGTGCCCTCTCCTGTCAGTGCCCCTCCCTCACCTGTCAGTGCCCTCTCCTGTCAGTGCCCCTCCCTCACCTGTCAGTGCCCTCTCCTGTCAGTGCCCCTCCCTCACCTGTCAGTGCCCTCTCCTGTCAGTGCCCCTCCCTCACCTGTCAGTGCCCTCTCCTGTCAGTGCCCCTCCCTCACCTGTCAGTGCCCTCTCCTGTCAGTGCCCCTCCCTCACCTGTCAGTGCCCTCTCCTGTCAGTGCCCCTCCCTCACCTGTCAGTGCCCTCTCCTGTCAGTGCCCCTCCCTCACCTGTCAGTGCCCTCTCCTGTCAGTGCCCCTCCCTCACCTGTCAGTGCCCTCTCCTGTCAGTGCCCCTCCCTCACCTGTCAGTGCCCTCTCCTGTCAGTGCCCCTCCCTCACCTGTCAGTGCCCTCTCCTGTCAGTGCCCCTCCCTCACCTGTCAGTGCCCTCTCCTGTCAGTGCCCTCTCCTGTCAGTGCCCCTCCCTCACCTGTCAGTGCCCTCTCCTGTCAGTGCCCCTCCCTCACCTGTCAGTGCCCTCTCCTGTCAGTGCCCCTCCCTCACCTGTCAGTGCCCTCTCCTGTCAGTGCCCCTCCCTCACCTGTGCCCACCTGACCCGTCCGTGCCCTCACCTGGGGGGTGATGCCGCACCAGAAGTTGGAGTAGGCCGCGCGCGAGTCGAGCATCGGGGCCACCACGGTTCTGTTCTCGGCCACCAGCACGGCCAGCGTGTCGGGGTTCACCAGGACATTGTCTGCGTCCAGGAACTGCGACAGGGGGACACCTGTGACACCTGGGACACACCTGTCACACCTGGGACACCCCCAGCGTGTCGGGGTTCACCAGGACATTGTCTGCATCCAGGAACTGCGACAGGGACACACCTGACACACACCTGGGACACAACTGGGACACACCTGTCGCACCTGGGACACACCTGACATATCTGTGACACACCTGGGACACCTCAGGGACCCCTCCCCAAATTCAGGACCCCCCCAGTTCAGACACAGCCACACCCAGCCCTGGGTGTCCCCAGTATCCCCCACCCTGGGGCTGCGTTTGTCCCCTCTGGGGGGAATTTTCCCCCCAGCCCGGGGCTCAGGGACCCCTGGGGACCCTCGGGGACCCCTGCCCGAATCGGGAGCCCCCTCCCCAAACGGAGGCCCCCCCGTACCAGCAGGTAATCGGCCCACATGGCGCGGGCGGCCTCCAGCGCCTCCTGGCGCAGCCGCATCACGTGCTCGTAGCGCGCGGGGCTCCAGTGCTTGGGCCCCTCCTCGTCGGGGAAGGACCTGGGGGGCACCGGGGGGGCACCTCAGACACCCCAAATCCCGGGAGACCCCCCCCAAATCCGGGGAGAGACCCCTGAAATCGGGGGACCCACAGGGACCCTCGCTCCTCAGACACCCCCAGGACACCCCAAAATCCCCAAGGAGCCCCAAAAATCTGCCTGAGACACCCAAAGACGTTTCTGAGCCCCCCAAAAAGGTGTCAGAGCCCCCCAAAACGTGTCTGAGTCCCCAGAAAATGTTTCTGAGCCCCCCAAAACATGTCTGAGCCCCCAAAACGTGTCAGAGCCCCCCCAAAATGTATCTGGGCCCCCCAAAGATGGTTCTGAGCCCCCAAAAATGTGTCTGAACCCCACAAAGACCTTTCTGAGCACCCCCAAAAACGTGTCTGAGCCCGTCCAAAGACAGTTCTGAGCCCCCAAAAATGTGCCTGGGTCCCCCAAAAAGGTGTCAGAGCCCCCCAAAACGTGTCAGAGCCCCCCCAAAGATGATTCTGAGCCCCCCAAAGGCGGTTCTGAGCCCCCCCAAAATGTGTCTGGGCCCCCCAAAGGCGGTTCAGAGACCCCCAAGATCCCCCAGGAGCCCCAGAGCCGGTTCAGAGCCCCCCAAAGAGGTG